TCTCTCTCTTGCTCATGGAAGAAATGAAAATATAAACTTAAAAACATTCTAGAATTGGGACCAGCAAATGACGTAATGGTTTTACCACTGGATTCCCAAGTAGTCAACAGCGGTTCAAGTCCCAGACCCAGCAGCTTGAAACTCAGGCCAGGTGCGTGTGCATGCTCAAGATCCCAAGAGGAAAATGGAGGAGGGTACTGTGGCATGGCCATCCCGTCTCGGGAGTGATTTCTTGCTTTCTGTCTCTGTCTCTCCGACAAGCACACACAGCCTATAATAAAAATTTATCTGAAAAATAAAAGTTCTACAACTGTTTTTGATGGCTATACAACTCTGTAAATCTATTAAAAACCACTGAATTGTACACTTTGAACGTGTAAATTGTACAGTATGTGAATTATATTTCAATTAAGCTATTAACACCCCTACACAAACACACACTCAAATCTGGTGCAATGGCTTTCAATTGCACAGCTTAATCTTTGAAAGCACAGACCTCTTAGATCTTCCAGAGACCACTAACCCAGAATCTATGAGAATGGTACCCACTTTTCCACACCAGTTGGGGGCAGTGTAGTAGAAACAACTGAGATCGAGGTTCAAATTCTGACTTTGCCAACTCCTATATGATCTTCAGTAAATTATCTACTTGCTCTACATTTGCATTTCTTTAGTACAACAGAGAAAAACACATTTCATTGGGTTATTTAATGAAATAATGTATTTAAAGTACACTTGGATAGAACAGTATATGCCATATGACTACTATTTTCAAACAACAGCTCTCTTTATGATGATTATGGTATTTTTATTGGAACTTGTTTCCTAAAAGGAGACAGATAATACAGGCTTGCTTTCTTTCTTTTTTTTTTTTTTTTTTTTTTCCTTTAACTGACAGAGGGTGTGTGAAAGAAGGGGTGGAGGAAACAGTCCCTAATGGAGAGTATAGTCAGGCCTTGATCATTTTTTCCTCCACTTGTCCATTTCTGTCAGGATGTGAGGCATACATACATATGTACCAGCATGTTTTTCAAGCGATGGGGTCAAGATATGATCCACAGGTGGCAATGTGGGGATCCAGCTTTGTATGTACAGCCTTTAACTGATGCACTATGGAGCCAAGATGCCTATATGTTCGCCCAAAATTAATGCATCTAAGTTAAACCTTGTAAATTATAACTCTTTATAAGAAACATTCATATATATATATATATATATATATATATATATATATAGAGAGAGAGAGAGAGAGAGAGAGAGAGAGAGAGAGATAATGACCAAAAAACTTTTTTCTTAAACATTTGCCATTGGGTGTGTATACTCACCTGAGAAAGCAAGACAGTGGGAAGGAAAGTGAGAAATCATTCCCCACAGGCATGGCCATGCTACAATCCCTTCTGCTCCATTCTCCTCCTGGGATTTTTGGGCATGTACATGCACACACAGCCAATGTGATTTTTCTTTTCTTTTTAAAAACATATTTTATTTAACTTTATTTAGTTTTAATTTAATTGGAGAAGGAGAGACAGAGAGAGATAAAGTAAGCTGCCAGGGCCGGGACTCAAACTGCAGTCAGTCATATGGGAGTCCAGTGTCTTTAATCACCACGCCACCTGCCAGAACCCCCTCAGTGTGATTTTTAAGCTGCTGGGTCCAGGACTTGAACTGCAGTTGACCATGTGGGAATCCAGCACTTTAACTACCACACTACCTAATGGCCCCCAAATTATAGTTTTAAAAGCAGTTCACTTTCTAACACTCTGCTTGGAATAAAATAAACATTTATGACATTATCATTTTTACAAAAATATAAAAACTACTAGAACACACACTTTAGTAACATCACAGGTGGTAGGAGAGGGTTCATTAACAAATTCAATGGTTGTTTAAAAAATTATAAACTTGGGAATAAAAAAGTTCAAAATATTAGGTAACCAAAAAATACAAATCACTTCCATAAAATATGGCAACTTAAAAAGACACATTTACTGGGGCCAGTGGGTGGCATGGTGGTTAAGGCGCTGGACTCCCACATGGCCGACTGTGGTTAGAGTCCCGGACTCAAGGGCTTGAAAATCTCACCAGGCACATGTGCAGGTGTGCCCAAAATCCCAGGAGAAGAGTGAATTGTGGGTGTGGCCATCCTCCTCAAGGGACGATTTCTCAATTTCCTTCTTACTATCTCTCTCTGACTCCCCTGGGCAAGTGCATGTTACTTTGCCAAAAATCTAAGGAAAAAAGATATATTTACTGTTTAGTAATAAATGCTACATCTGTAAGCTCAAGAACAAACCTAAGTTAAATTTAAAATCCTGTGAAATAAAACAGACAGACAGAGACAGAGAGACAGAAAGCAAGAAATCATCCCCCAGGGGGGAGGGCCATGCCGTAATCTCTTCTTCTCTATTCTCCTCTCGGGATCTTGGGCATGCACGCACACGCGCCCAGCGTGAGTTTAAGCCACTGGGTCCGGGTCGCAAACCACAGTCGACTACGTGGGAGTCCAGTGACATAGCCATTACGCTAACTGCTGGTCCCCCAAGATATTTAGATTCTTAATTCCCAGGTGATTTGATAGCATTGGTATGGAAATAAGTCCTTAAAGAGAGACTCATGAATTAAAGACAAACTTTTAGGACTGACTGTATTACATGTACAAAAAAAAAAAAAAAGGAAATAACACTTCATATTTCTATACATAAATTTAGCATTTCCTTCTTTGATGGCCTATAATAATTCTGCTCCACAATGAGCCATACATGCACATCAAATTTTGACTGCATCTGGTACTAAAACAAGTCATTCAACAACCACATTCGTGGGCCAGCAAGCAGCACAGTGGTTAAGGTGCTGGACTCCAACATGGCTGACTGCACCTTTAGTCCCAGACTTAGCAACTTGTTTTCTCCCTTTCCCTTTCTCTCTGTCTGTCTCTCTCTCTCTGGTGAGTACACATGCCCTACAATAAATTCAATAATAATAACAACAAATTAAATAAATTCTTAAAAAAAAAAAATCATATACATTCCTATGGGAAGACATGGAATGGAACATTTCTACCCAGAAATTCTTGGGAACATTTTAGTATCTCACGTATGAAATATACTTTTTAAGTATATGAGAAACCTACCATGGATTTTTCTATACATCTAATATAACTAAAATTAAATTAAGATTTTAAATGTGTGGTTTGGGTTAAATATAATAGAACAACAAACCTAAAATTTAAATTGCTTCTTTTTTTAACAATTATTTTATTCAACATTATTTATTATTATTATTTTCCAGTTTGATCATCCAGAGAGAGAGAGAGAAAGTGAGAAAGCAAGCCACCAGGTCGGAGACTCAAACCGTAGTCAGCCATGTGGGAATGTCCAGCACCTTAACCACCATGCCACCTGCAGGTCCCTAAGCCCCTTCTTTTTCAAAGCTAAACAAAATTTTAAAGCAGTCACAATGTTATACTCCTGAAAAGCTGCAGAGTCTAAAATCACAAACATTTCCTTGGTCACCCATTGTTAAGACCAGTGTTCACAAAGCAACAGTACATATTTCGTCTTTTATTCAGCATCAAATAAATTTCCTTAACACAAAAAAAGAAACTTCTCTTAAAAGTTTATATAATCAACTTTTTAGGAAGATTTTTTTAAACTCTTATAAAAGGACCCTCAAAGACTATACCTTTATCACTTTTTCAAAATTGACGTTACTTTTTCAAGCGTTTCATAAATTTTTCCATAAAATATCAGGACAACTGACTTATTTACACATGTATAGTCCCTATTTTCCCCCCATAGCCTTTTAAAATATTTTGTTTCAGTACAATTTAATGTTCAATACAAGAATGGAATTAAATCTACCAAAATTCTAACTGTACTTATAAATGTAACTTTTTTCTACCTTTCTGTATTTGTGGATTATTTTCAAAGAAACATTAAGTTCTTTCAAAATGAAACAAAAATCTCTTCTGTTTTCTGATACTGCTTTTTTACTAGGCTCTCATATGTCAAAACTTTTGTGGTAAATTTGGTAGTAAGTGATGTAAATTTGGGGCCAGCAGATGGTGTAATGGTTACATTGCTAGATTCCCATGTAGTGGAGCACGGTTTGAGTCTCAGACATGGTGGCTTAAAAACTCATGCCAGGCATGAGTGCATGAGTGCCCAAAATTCCGAGAGGAGAATGGAAGCGAAGGGATTGCTGCATGACCATCTCCTCTGGGGGATGATGTTCTTACTTTCTGTCTCTCTCTTTCTCCAGCAAGCACATGTGCCCTATAGAAAAAAAAAAAAAAAAAAAACTCTTTAAAAAAAGTGATGTGAATTTATTTTTAATTATTATTTTTTAGAGAAATTTATGTTATAGGGTGTATATGCTCAACAGAGAGAAAGACAAAGACAGAAAGAGAAAAAGTGAGAAAACATCCCCCCTCCAGGGATGGCTATGCCACAATCCTTTCTCTTTGGGATCTTGGGCACGTATGCATACATGCCAGACACAAGTTTCAAGCCATCAGGTCTGGGACTTGAAACACAGTCAGACAGACATGTGAGAGTCCAGTGCCTTAACCACTATGCAAATCACTGGTCCCATGAATTTAAATATTTTTCAGATAAAGATGGAAAAGTCAGAGAATGGGAAAAATGTAGCTTTAATATAGCTCATACGATTATACAGAAAAAAATTTTTAGAAGAGGTGGCAACAACCAAAAATTAGGTAAATACCTTTTCTCTATCAAATTTACCTTTTCTCTAATAAAGATTAGCAAATTAGGTTTATGTGAAAAAAATCTAATTACATTTATTTTCTAAACTCTAAGCCATGTACTATAGACATTGCTAAAAATTGAACAATTAAAGGAACCATACAGAAGATGGAATTTAGAAATAAGCTGTTTTTAGGTAATTAGTAGGTATTTTCGGATATGGAAAAAAGCACTTAAAAATTATGTAGCATTAAAAAATACGGTAAATAATATGAATAATCCAAGGCCTCTTACCAATTTCAGCAGGTAGTTGTTTGATTTTGTTCTCTCGAATGCTAAGCATGATGAGTTTTGGCAGGTTTTTTATGTCCTTTTCCACAGTAGTTATACGATTAAAGCGAAGGTATAGAGTAGTGAGGGAATCTAGCCTATATACCACTGAAGGAATTTCTCTCAGTTTATTATGTCGTAAATCAAGCATCCGTAGCTTCTTCAAGTTATCAAGAGAGTCAGGCAAACTGGTAAGTGAATTTTCACTTAAAGCCAGTGTCATGAGATTTACTAGACAGCCCACCTCTGCTGGGAGGGACTGCAATTTGTTACTGTATAAATAAAGTTCTGTTAATTGAGTCAACTCTTTGATTGATGTCGGCAATATATGTATAGACCTCTTGGATAAGTCCAAACGCATTGAATTCTCTTCCCGGCATTTGTTGAGCTCTTTAATTACCTCTGCATTGCTGGATTTTTTCCTAGTACCAGGAGCTGGATTTGGCCGTTTGATAGTATTGTCAACTGAAAAAGCCACCCCAGGTTGGGCAGCACTGGAGTCTTTCTTTCCGTCTTTGGTATTCCCTTTGGTCTTAGGTTCTTTTTCTTTGCTTTCTTTCCCAAAACCTCCAGAGGCTTTTGCCTCCTTTTCTCTTTCCTTGGCTGATGGTACTTTGGGATCTTTCTCTTTAGAGTCTTTTTCTTTTCCTAAACTACTACTCATGGTGACTTAAGTTTGGACAAAAACTACATGAACTTCTTTTATTTGCCAGTAACTGGAATTCAAAGATGAAGAGACAAAGATCCTATACAATCAGAAAGGTGTTGGCTTGAAGAAGTAATCAGCACGAAGTAATATCCATCTGTTACATGTTGGATCTAAATGCGCTATGCCCATTTCTGATAACTCATTCCAACTGGTATAATGGTGCTGGCAATGAATAATTCATTAGAATTCCTGAAATATAATATAGAGAGAATATTACTTTAGATTATAAAGTACATTAAGTAATTAGGCTTAGAAAAAAACTTACTGCAGTTTGACATTTTTCTATAATTTTGTACAGTAAATATTTATTGAATACCCTGTATTACACAAAATCCATTGAAAGGTACAAAAATGAATAAGGTGGGTCCAACCTTCAAGGAACTTTAATTTTAATAAGAAGAGGTAAGAAAAAAATAGGTTATTACTATGGTATTACTATGCTATTAACTGTAAGAGCTAAAAAGTGGGAAAAATCATAATAGCTGCTAAAATTATAAATGTTTTCTATGTTCAAGCACGGTAATAGAAATTTACAACTACCAATTCAATTTATTTAATACATATTAATAGCCCTATGAGATAAATTGTTATCTCCATTTTATACACTGAGGCACAGAAATATTTTTAACTAACTTTGTCATCTTGGAAAAGCCAATATTCCAATTTGATAGTATTTCTCCACAGCCTATATTCCTCACCACTATACTAAAACTGCTCTGTCTGCAACTAATTGCCAAATAGCTTAAGATGAGAAAAGATTTCAAAAGGGTTGATAAGTAGAATGGAGAGCAGTCTGGTAGAACAACAAAATAAAGTGACATACAGGACCATCAGGTGGTATGATCCTTAAGGTGCTGGACTCCCATATGGTTGACCGTGGCTTGAGTCCTGGACCTAGAGACTTGAAAATCATACCAGGCACATATGTGTGCGTCCCCAAAATCCCAGGAGGAGAACAAAAGAGAGGGATTGCTGCACGATCATCCCCCAAGGCACTGTCAACAAATTTAGGTCTTTTTTTTTTTAAATCACTTTAACTCACTTTCCTCTCACTGACTCTCTCTAATGAGTGCATGTGTCTTATGGCAGAAACATTAAAGAAAACACACACACACACACACACACACACACACAAAACAACCCAGAGATATTAGGTATTGTAGAACAAGTTTCGTTTTTCTTTTTCTTTTTTTGCTATAGGGCACGTGCATTTGCGAGACAGAAAGTGAGAAATCACCCCTGGGGGTGGTGGTGGTGGCCAATCCTTTCTCCTCCATTCTCCTCTTGGGATCTTGGGCACACACACACCCGGCGTGAGTTTTAAGCCACTAGGTCCGGGAATCGAACCATGGTTGACTACATGGGAGTCCAGCAACAGCGATTACGCTAACTGCTGGTCCCAAACAAGTTTATTTTCTTAAAAAGAAAACTAGGAAAGAAAAAAATTAAGAAAAGTTTCGGCTCACTTAAATTTTAAATTAGATTTTAAAATATTTAAAATTATTCTTAAATAAATAATAAACTTAAATTGTAAGACATTTTTGAGAGAGTTAAAAATAATGCTCTTTAATAAACTGTAAAGTTATATGTAATCTAATGTAATATAAAGAAGATTATGATGATAATAAAAAAAATCAAAAAAAAAAATAATAATGCTCTTAACACACAACTGGCATTTTTTAAAGAGTGAATTCCTTAATCTCCTATCCTGTTTCTCAAACTTCCCTAATAATAATAAAAAAAAAAACTAAAAACAAACAAAAACCCATAAACTGGAATATTTGTTTAAAAATATAAATTCTCACAGCTGGCAGGTGACATGGTGGTTAAGGGCACTGGACTCCCACATGGCCGACCATGGTTGAAGTCCCAGACCTGGCGGTTTGCTTTCTCACTTTCTCTCTCTCTGTTCCTCTCTGGTCAAAATTTAAAATAAATAAAATAAAGTTAAATAAAATAATTCTTTTATATATATATGTGTGTGTATATATACACACATATAGATATAGATATAGATATATCCCCCCTCTCCCCAGGCTCTATCTGAAATCACTGAATAAGAACCTTTAGGGAATGGGTCTAGGAAACTTTATAAAAATAACAAATGCCTCAGCAAATGCTTATCAAGGTTTGGAAACACTCTATCTGACCAAATATAAGATTTGAGCAATAAACATATTTAATATTATATTTCTCAAATAATGAAGGATGCAGATCAAGTGTAGATCAAGAAAGAAATTGTATTTAAATGAGAAAAATAAGTTACTAATAATATAAAGTTCTTGTTGAAGTCTAAAATTATTTCTCATGATCTTTAAATATGATCCAATATATCTGAAGTTCAGACTACCAATACTTGAGTCATTTGATGGTTTTATTGTAGTAGTGACAGATTTGTACTATTTGAAACCACATACTCATCCTGCAGCTCTTATACCTAATGATAATTTGTTGGTATAGAGCTTAGTCTTTGTTCAGAAAAACTTAACTAGTCAGAGAATAAAAATTTGGACCTCGACATTATTACTATGATTTGCTTAAATGAATCAACTAACTAACCAAGCTTTGCTATTAACTAAGAAATTTCACATTCAGTAAAGATTATTTTGTCCATGAGAACTAACAAATGACTTGACAGCTCAATTCAGACCTGAATCTGGTGACAATGACAAACTTTAGGTAAAAAAATATTGAGAGTAATCTTTGATGTTTCTTAAAAATACTAATTCAGCAAGTTTGTTTGTTTTTAAATCACTTTAACTCTATACAGTTTTGAGGGACAGCTACACTGTCATAAAATTTGAATCTGATACCCACTTATGTAATAAAATACACTTAAAACGCTTAAAAAAACTCAGCAAGACAAAGTATGAAATTGCATCAATAATTAAATTGCAGCTGGCACTGGTGTTTTTACACTGGGATCTTTACCATAGCAGATGACTCTTACTTCTTACCACCTAATAGTTACCCTTTATGGAGTACTTGATGTGGGTTTTTTTTAATATTGGGTTGTTGGAAAAGTCATGACACATAGGAAAAAATACATCATGGCTTTTCCGACAATATTATTTCATGTTCTCACAACCACATCTCAAGGACAATAGTAAACAAATTTTCCTAATTATAACCATGTTAGCTCCCTTAAACTGATTTTACCATTAGTCCAAAACGACACCAAATAAGAAATTACCAACACAACTTGTTAGAGGTCCAAGTTGATGGAAGTGTTCTCTGGCATATAGTTATGTTCTAAACTAGCAAACTCTCGATTCCAAAGTCCTAAGTAGAAGAGTTCCTCTATTTTCGACTTATAGATGAGAAAATTGAGACACTAAAGGCAGCTATCTAATAAGTGGCTGAGGAAAAATCAAAACTAGGTGTGCCTAACTCTAAAGCCCATGTATACTCTTTCACCTACCCCACACTTAATTTTAAAGATAAGCATCTAAATTATCATTCTATGAGGATATTGATTACAATAAACTTAGGCCTCCTAATTCTATAAGGATGTTGATTACAATTAACTTAGGCCTCCACTATCTTCTAAGTCAGGCACTAGCAAACTTTTCCTCCAAAAGGCCAGATACTTCAGGCTTTATAGCCAGGTCAGTCCGTTGCAGGTACTCAACTCTGTCATCTTAGCATGAAAGCAGCCATAAACAATACATACATGAATAGGAATAGTTGTGTTTCAATAAATCTTTATTAAAATAGGCCTCAAACTGAATTTGGACAGAAGGCAACAGTCTGTCAACTCCTGTGCTTAGTCACTCACTGTTTCAGGCTTTAAGTCACTTGTTTCAGGAACTATATTTTACGCAAATTAGACATAAGAAGTAAAAATAGTTTTCCTTCCTCTTGTAATATACTCACATTACATATGGTTATTTCCAAAATTGAAGAGGGTCAGAAGGAAGATGAAAGTGAGAAATCACTAATCTGTTAAGATTTTTTTCTTGGTCTTTTTTTTTTTTTTTTTAAGAGGTTTTTCCTATAGGGCGCGTGTGCTCGCCAGACAGAGACAGAAAGCGAAAAATCACCCCCTGAGGGGATGGCCAGGCCGCAATCCCTTCTCCTCCATTCTCCTCTTGGGATCTGGGGTACACGCGCACACACACACACGCCCGGTGTGAGTTTTAAGCCACTGGGTCCGGGACGCAAACTGCGGTCGACTAGTGACATAGCCATTATGCTAACTGCTGGTCTCAAGATTTTTTTCTTGGCCTTAAGACAGTAATGATAACTACCACATATAATAACAGCTATTTACTTTAAAATCACATCCATAGATCATATCCACTAAATATATCCTTGTGTTGTATCTTCAGTGCAGATATGAAAGCTTTACAATATCAGAAATTAAATTACAATGGATGGAACTTCAAGTTCCAGACAAGATGGAATAGCCCCATTATATCCTGTTCATTCCACTAATTACAACCTAAAATCCAAAAATAATAAACCAACTAGAAGACCCTGAAAGTTGAAAAAAGAAAGTAGACTGACTAGGGATCTTGGGACTCAAAGGCTGAGCTGATGGTGAGTTCCCCGGGTTGTTTTGTTTTTTGTTTTTGTTTTTAAATCATATATACCAGCCTAGGCAGTAAAGAAGACCACAACCAAAAAACATCAATAGGCACAAACAAATAAGAGCTCCATGAACAGTGCTCTTTCTGGTTGAAGGACAATGAAGAGGGTAGCACTACAGGATGGCACCCCTCCGACTACTTACTTTACTTGAACTCTACGAAAGAAGTCATCTCTCTCCACATCCAAAACTGGCATTGAGGCTACAGTGAAATCCTTCTATCCCAACTTAACACTAACTTGAACAGGATCAGCACATATTCTTCTTCACATAAGTACTGTGGTGGAGGAGACTGTGGAGTGGAACCCTGCAGATCATCATCACCCTGCATGGAGAATATCAGCTAAGAAGTGGTAGCCCTCTTTCTTCCCACTGAAACTAAGGTGGTACTACTACTTCTGATTGTCTTCTGCCTTGCATTAAGCAACTGTTAGCAAATAAAGCATAGGCCATGTCTCCTAACCAGAGAGAATGTGAGAGGAATATGGAGAGCAGGAGCTGGAGAAAGAGATTCTTTCAATATGTGTATTTCCAAGTACAATCTCTAGTAGCTTAGGCATGAAAACAACCAGAATCAAAACAATAAATGCTTTGAAAA